CACATTTAATAATTTATATTTTGTAATATGATATAATTTAAATTTTAAACTACAAAATATAATTATCAAGGAATAATTTAAACATTTAACATACCATCAGCTTTATATTTCTCTTTTTCGATGATTTCCTTTAACATAAAGGGTTTTTTTTAATATGATAAAGTTAACTTTAATTTAAATAATTGTCCAAATAAAATGATATGTATGAAATAAATAATAAAATTAATGATAATTTTTTATTTTTTTAATATTAATTAAATTATAATATAAATAATATAAATAATTTTTTATTTTTTAAATTAATATTAAAAAAATAATATTTACACCCTTAATCAACATATATTCTTAAGACACAAGTAGAAAAAACCTAATATAAATGCTGACCTGGTTTGATTGAAAAGTCACCATCTTCATTAAACAATCATATAGATAGTGAGAGACCTAATGCTGAATTCCAGCAGGGTTGCAAGTTTCTGTTTTATGTGGGTTCCCTGGTCTTTAACATAGGGAAACTACCAAATGTAATATGTATTGAAGGGAAGGAGTACTCCTTTTATTCTATTAATAATTTTTTTTCGATTAAAAAAAATATGTAGACAATGAGAATTTTTCTAAGTGTTTTTTTAAAGAGCTTTTATAACATAAGATTCAAATTAGATTTAAGTAGTTAGGACTTTTTAATTTTACTTATTTACAATATAAGATTCAAAGTAGATTTAAGTAGTTAAGACTTTTTAATTTTACTTAATTTATGGATAAGATAATTATATTAATTTAAATTTATTGAATAGTGATAAATGAGATAAAATTTTGAGACTAAAATATGGGACCAATGATGTGGTTTACATCATATTATTTAAAATATTAAAAAGTAGATTCTATATTACATAATAATTTATTCTTTTTATTTTTTTAAGATCCATAATATTATATGCATTAATTAATTTAATGACATAGTATAAGTCACATCATTGATCCTACATTTTTGTTCTAAATTTCCATACTCCTTATCACTACTCAAATTCATTTAGTCTCTAACTTTAAACTAACAATGAGAAGAAAATAGATAATTACCATTCTAATTTTTTTAAAAAATTAAAATTTTCAAATAAGATCATAATTTAAAATTAAATTTTAAAAAGAAAAAAATTAAAATATGTTGATATATACAAGAGATATTTAAACACTAATAAAATTTCAATCTTCCATAAAAAATAAAATAAAATAAAATTTCAATCTCTTTTCAATATTTACGCCTTAATGTATTTGCTTGGGGCCTTAATGGCCAAAAAATTGTAATAAGTAGAATTGAAGATAAGTTTTATTGATTTATTCATTTAAAATTTAAAAAGATAATACAATGAAGTTAATTATAAATTTAAATTAAAAATTTAAATAAAGTGAAGTTTAAATTTCAAATAAATTATCTAATATAAAGGGATTTTTTCATGTAAGATTCAAATTAAATTTAAGATTTTTTAAATTTGTTTATCACAATAATTTTAATTTGAATTTATCTAGTTTTAAGTTTTTGATTAACAATAAAAAGTAAATAAATAATCACAATTCTAATCTAAAAAAGAAAATATCCAAATATCCAAATAAAATCACAATTTGAAATTTACTTTTAAAAAAATATATTAAGATCAACAAATAAATAGAAATGTTATCTACAAACTACTGAAATTTTAGTTTTTTTTTTTTTCTAATTTTTAGACTTTAATGCATTTTACACTTAATGGCAACAAAATTTAATAAGTAGTATTAATTTAAAAAACTTTCATAAAAAATTCTAAATGACTAAGTGTTAATGCTAATCACTTTTACTAAATTATAAAATTAATGAAGAATATATATGTAATCAAGTGGAAATATATTGCTTAATTCTTTACCAATGTAATAAAAAATTAGTCAAAATAAAACTTAACTACTAATCTAAATTTTTTATAAAAGTTTTTAAATTTTACATTATTTTTATAATTGATAGAAAATTTATTTTATCACCAAGTGCATGGTCCATAACGTCTAACTCAAGTGGTATGATTAGGAGAGGCAAACTGGAGACACCGATTGTGACAATTCGGGCCCTTACCATTCTTATCACCGCTATCACCATAGTGTATATGGTCCTTCACGTCCAACTCAAGTGGTATAATTAATTAGGAGAAGCAAAAGGGACACCTTTTGTGACATGAATTCGAGTTCTAACCATTCTAATCCTCCTCTATTGTCCAATCTAAAATAGACACATCCGGTTTAGATCGATGTCTAAGTTGAATTTTTCATCACGTAATCACGACTGCAATATTTAACATTTAGTGTTGGAGGCAGTGTGGTTATTGTCATAGGAGGTGTGGTTATTGTTATAATTAATAAAAAGAAAGTTAAGGCTATCAAAAATTTTAATTTTAATTTTTAAGTATTATCTAAAAACGTTAATTTATTAATTAATTTTAATTTGTTAACTGAGGATGCCGTGCTTGACAAGAAGAGCAAGAATGGAGGAACGGGAGGAAAGTTGGTTGTTGACAGGGACAGAGCCAATGCAAGGGAGCAGCCGCCCCCCTAAGCTTTTGAAAAACATTTAATATGGTACTCTAATTTTTGTTTGTTAAAAATTTTGTTTTTATAGTATGAATTTAAGGGACTATTTCAAATTTAGATAAAATATTTAAGATCGAAATAAAAAGTTTTTTTTTTTAAAAGAAAAGATATAATTCAAGTAAAATGAATTTATGTCAATTAAATAATTAAGAATTAGGGTTCTTAAATATTTTTTCATCTATTAAGCTCAAAAAAAGACCTGATTATCTATTTAAAAAACTTTAAATTTACAATTTTTTAATTTTTTTCTTAATATTCTATGTAAAACTTTGAAGTGTTTTCCTTTTGGCATGGAGTACAATTTTACCTTTTATGATTGAATTAATAATCTTTTATTTTTGCTAAATCAATCTAAATTATAATTCATTTTCTAAAAGAAATATTCTGGTATGTTTTTTATAATATTAATGTTTATCAATATGATCTCCAAAAAATTAATAGGAAATTAAATACCTGAAAACTACGTTACTTCAATAAAATCAAAACACTCCTATTCTAACTTTAAGAATATATTATTTTTTTCTTTTCCAATTTAGGTTTATTAAAATGATTTAATTTTGTGGTATTTTTTCTCATAATTTGTTAAAAATTCAGCTAACAAACACATTTCTCTTTTTTAATTCATTCTTCAATTAATTATTACACAATTTATTATATTGATATTTCATTTTTTATTATAATTAAAAAATACATTTATTTTTAATTTTTATTAAGAATATATAAATGAAAAATACTACAAACAAATCTTTTTATAAAAAAAAAATTTAAAGAAAATAAATTAGTGTCATAAAAGATACCGTTAAAAGTTTAAATCTTCAACAATAAATTTCGCCCCCCTACCCGAATTTCCTAGCTTCGTCCCGGTTGTTGAGGACGTGGAAAATATTCCACCTCACAGTTTCTAGCTTGTTCGTCCTTTTAG